TAGTTTCTGGGAGTAGCTGTAGCAGGCGCCGGCCACCGTTTTGGTGCAAAGGCCTAGTGGCAGTCCGTGAACGGGGGAGCTAAATATGCCGAAGCGCCTACTTCGCGGGGAACGAAATGAGCCCCACCCTGCCTGGATTACCACAGTTAGCAACCGGACTGCGTGTTAATATGGCTGCGGCGATTTACACCAAACATATAAATTCCTGAAGTTTGTCTTGAAACTCCCGAAATATGTGAAGTGTGTACATTCTTTTTCTGGCGGCTTAGACGGCTGCACCTTTTTCTTTATGAATACATTCTAAACACATTTTTTCGATTGTTCGCGTTTGTTCACGCTCGTTGATTTGTATAACAAATCGAGAAGCATGAAACAGAAATCAAGAAGCTCGTTGATTCTATTTGGCTCGTCGACGACGGCCGCAATGATTTTGTTACCCGGGCTGGGGGCGCAGGTATTGACAAAATCGCCAGCGCGATTCCGCGTTGTGCTAGTCATGCACGTTGGATTTGCGAGTGAGATTCGCACCCAGGTCATGGAGTCTACGTAGATCATCTCAGCTTTTCCGCATCGCTCATCACAACGAGATTCGGAGCTCTGCAGACCTACCATATCTGATGCGGAAGGAGCATTGAAGGGGGAAAGAAATGCTCGAAAACTGAGCTACTTTCTAGGCCAAGCCAACGTCAAATAATTCCTGGGTAAAACGTCACGCTTAAAAGCCACAAAAATGCAAACGGTCAGCGTATTTTCGCGAAAAATTTCGAGATACCGACCCCCTAGATGCCGCGCCGTAAACCATCTTATTTTCCACAAAAAACACAAAAAACAACAACAACAACAGGTGATTGCCAGCATGCAGCTGCATTCATAGCCTGAACGCTCTGCTTTAAAATATATTAAGGTCTAATTTATTCTGTTGAGTCGCCAAAGCGCGTCGCATGGCCACTCCCGCACTCCCGTAGGCCGCCGCTTCCGCATGGGAGCTTACCATTAGTTCGTAAATTGACCAACGGAGGTGCTGATGGCGCGAGAGACCGTAACGCTATAGCAGCACGCACGGAGCGTATACCGAAATCACCAGAAAGTTTAGCTACGCTGCCGCTTCCGCGATGCATTGTGGGAGCTTCCGTCTTTGCGCCGCGGGGCTGGTGCGGTCGCGGGCGGACATGTAGTGAAGATTTGGCTGACGGATAACCTCGCAAAGACCGTGCTAGTGGTGTTGTTGCAATTAATTGTTTTTATTCTGCTCCGCCGTTATGGCAGATTTTACGTGTTGGGTCCCTGGCTGCAGCAAAAACAGCACAAAACACAAGGGTGTCGGGTTTCATAACTTTCCGAAGGACCGGCAGTTGAGAGAAGAATGGATCGCTAATGTTCGCAGAGCAAGCAGTAAGGGACGGTAAATGAGTCTTCGCTTGTTAGAAAGAGAGCTACGTAATCAACGTTCTGTGTGCGAAATTGAACTCATGGATTCTAATTGCCCTGTTGTTGAGAATGCGAGAAAACTGACAGAACCCTTGGAGTGTCCCCTGGGTTGGTGGTGCCGCAAGATCGTGCCTGCCTCCGATCGTGTTTGCGTCCTGATAAGCATTTCGTGTTCGGCACACACCTGTTCGTAGCGGCAGCTTTCTGCAACATTGTTTTCTACGTTTACAGGTTTTCGAAGTTCTTGACCACGACTGATCACGCCAATCAAAATTATGAAGCTGTTTTTTCATAGCCCTTGCTCGCTCGCCAAGTGCATGCCGGTAAGTCGTATACACCAACTCATGTTTACAAACAAACCGGAGCGCCCTAGCGGACGCCACCGGCGCCGCGCATGCGCGGTGGATGGTGGGCAAGAAGCCCGCCGTCGCCCATAAACAAACCATTGAATTGCGTTGTTGTCGGCGTCGGTGGGAGCCCCCGTGCTCTTTTTCGCGTTGGAATTGTTGATTCTACGTCCTCCTAAAAATATCTGACTACTTGAGCGGCTTCAGCAAAACTAACGAGGCAAAACTTTGCGTGAATAATGGGACGTGCGGCGATTCATTTCACGTGGACGCCGCAGAATGGGCGCTAAACCCTGACTCCCACGGTGAGATTCTGCACGCTATTTTCAGTCGCGACGTCGCTCGGAGTGCAAAAGCGTGGACCGTAGCTGAGATGGTGGACGTCGATACTGAAAAACCCAAGTAGAATCGGGCATTACAAGTCGGTGATGGCCACTGGTAACAATAATCAACATCTTCTTGTATCTGTTTACACTTAGCCTACTTACCCCAACCAACCTTCAAAAGTGTTTTGAGGCCTGCACTTAGTTCTTATCGCAATTACCGGGTCAACGTTTGGTTACGGGCCGCTGTCGTTTGAACGAGCTGACGACAAAAAGCAGCTAAATTTGAAAGAGCAGACGACAGTTCGAACGGATGCGCAATGGAGTACGGGCAAGAAGCACCGCGTCCCGCGTCAACAAACCATTCGAATGTCACGTTGTCGGCGTCTGTGTGAGTCTGCATACTCTTTTTCGCTTCGTAATTGTCGATTCTACGTCCTCATCGCAATGTCTTACCACTTTAATCGCCTGAGCGAAATTATCAAGGCTCGTTACGCCGCTAAACTTTCCATAAATAATTTTACGTGCGGCGATTCATTCGCATGAACGCCACGGAATGGACGCCAAAACCATGATGAGATTCTTCTAGCTATTTTCGGTCGCGACGTCGCTCGTGCTGCAAAAGTGTAGAAGGCAGCGGCGATGATCGACGTCGATACTGAAAATCGGAAGCGGGAACAGAGCAAGCGTAACAAGTCGGTGATGACCACCGGTACCAATGATCAACATCTTGCATCTACTGTTTACACGGAGCCTACTTAAGTCTTTTGAGGCCTGCAATTACTTCTTATTGCAATCACTGGGTCAAAGTTTGGTCTACGGGCCGCTTTTGTTTGAACGAGCAGACGACAAGAAGCAGACAAGTTTGAAAGAGCAGACGAAAGTTCGAACGATCAGCCGGCGGTGTGAATTTGAAGACGCACTGAACCCGTGGGTGGTCCGTACAACTAGGAGGTTTTTTCTCGCTCATGTTGGAACAAAGCAAATACATCCGGCGACCACAAAGTATTGCCCGCACAAGCAATCGTAGTTCGACAGCGTCTGGTTTGCCCTATTTACGGCTACTATTCACGTTCTCGGACGAACGGAGGGGGCAAAAACACATGGAAACTGATCTTCAAACCTTTCCAGACTCCCTTGGTACAGCCGCCATCGCAGCATTTTTACAAAAAGGCAGGTTTTTTGTCTCGTTTCTTCCAAAGGAACACAGGAACGCATGTCTGGCACGGCGACGTCTGCCCACCGCCCCAGACCGGAAGTGCGTCCGGCGCGCCACCACCGCGGCGTGACGTAGGAGAGTTGAGTTCGTGTATAGACGCCTCAAATGTAGCCCCGAGGACAAGGCTGGCCAAGATAGAAGCAACGAACAGAAACACGGTATAAACTAACATCGGTGAAGCACATTTCCAATGTGTAAGGCAATGCCAGGTGCACATATATACCCCGAAAAGTCTTGCCAGTGTAGAAAGCCACAGCAGTGCGCCAAACACAAGCTGTGCAATGCGCAGTGCCACAGAAAGCAGAAATAGCATGATCTACATGTCCACAAGGGCTAATGTTGCTCAGCATGTTTGTCACCAAACCATCTTGGTAGTATTTATGTTGCAAGAGCTTACACTAAACGCTAGCTTTATCTTTAAGAAACAATCTGGTTTGGGGGGGGGGGGGGGGGGGCGGGGGAGGGGGGGCTTCTAGTGTCATCGACATATGTCGGGCACGAAAGATTGCGCAACATTGATTGTTCCTTTTCGAGTCGTGTTTGTGAACGGAACCACATGCTCATGCAAATGAACCCCCCCTCCCCCTAACATGCGTGCCCCTGAACAACATTAAGGCTAAAAAAATGGCCTAATTGATCCTTGATTCGTTTTTTAAACGAATCAAGGATCAATGAACCCAATGTACCAATGTATCAATGATCAATGTATTCAATGAACCCGTGGTGATATTGTACAATATTTACTCCTAAGCACTGCAAATGAACTTTGCGAAAAAAAAAAAAAACGCGAGACACCCTTCGAATGTGTCACGTGTTAAAAAAACTAAGAACCCGCAAAAAAGAAAGCTGGACAGCATACTTATACTTGCTTAAATTAAAAAAAAATATATCAAGAAAAAAAATCTTGGTAGATTTTTGTCTGTTTTGGGGATGTAGTGCGTAACCGAGGGAATTAGTAGGTGACGTCGGAAGCTAGGCTTTCGTCCTGTGTGTAGGCACAACCTCCGCACTCCCACCGCGTCCGTCGCGTCCTTGGATCAAAGTAATGGCGGCACCCAAGGTGGCTTGCTGATCGAGCATGCGCCAAAGGGGGGTGAGATTTGTATATTCAACAAAATGGGAGCACACAATTGGCGAGAGATCATACGGTAAAAAACCGGATACTTTTTTTTGTTTTTTTTTTGTTAGCTTCCTCGAGGCATCGCATCTTAAATAAGCCGTTGCAAAAACGTCAGCATGAGTATAACACTATCCCGGCGCTACTCGAAGGTGACTGTTGAAGAATTCCATTGTAGGAGCTAACCTCCTCTCTCCCTTCCGAAGCCGCCGGTGGCAGGTGGATGGGCAGACGGATACGGCTTATTATTCGAGCTGCGGCTGGCGCCACCCGTTGTTTGAAGTGTCATCTTGAAGCTGTGCGCCAAAACTGTACTCTCTGGAGCGGCCGTGGTGAAGCGCCATTTAGACGCAGTACTTCAAATTATGTGTATATATGGAGTTCACATAACAGCCGCCTCTAGAACTATGGCGCTTCGAACGACGGGAGGCGAACCATTGGGAAAGCCCCCCCCCCCCCCCCCCCCCCCGGGGGGGGGGGGGGGGGGGTTAATGCGCATGAAGCAGCGTCTGAGGACAGCTTCGCAAATAAGGTTATCTCCTAACGCCGCTCGAAGCTGAACGAACCTCGAGGGTGTAGCTACCGGGCCTGAGGATCCTCCAATACTCTCCCTTGGACGTCGTCTTGAAGCCGATCCTGCGGTTGGAAATCTTGAGGGACGCCTGGACCACGGGGTTGTCCTCCTCGTCCGTCACAATGCCACGGACGCCTACAAAATTGCGCGCAGTTGTTCAAGGCACGAGGTTTATGCACAACGTGTAGCACGTCCCATCATAGATTACAACATGGGCTCAGGGAACAAAATTATAAGGGCGAAAAGCCGTACGGCGGTTCTACTGTGAGAACATTCGAATAGAATCCTACGTCATGAGCTAGACGCCATCCTGGCACACTAATACGATTCACTTTGAGGAACGTTAATTCTCTGACCAAAAGCAAAAGTTGAATCTTTGTTTAACGTGCGCGCCTTGCTTTCCTGCTTGTCATTGCTGTTCTTGAAGACTTTATGCATTCACCGTTCACGCTCCAAAAATACCCTAGTAATTTTGCAATAAATGGGGAGTATATAAAGGAAGCCATATTTGAGTTCGCTGCGCATGCTCCAAACGAGCTCAGGCCTGTAGGCTGCCAAGACTGGTAATCTTGATGTAGAATGCACGTTGCAAAAGCACTGTGAAAACTGACTGTCAGCCCGCGCTCAGCACCCACGGACTCATCTATTTCTGCTACAGGCTAGCGGATACCCTCCAGAGGAGTCATGCTGCCCGTCTTTACGGCTCTAATCATTCTGGGTAGGGATCCGTGGACCTAGCAGGATCGAAGCCTGCTTGCTTCGAACATGCCTGTAACTGTCTGCAGAGAGTTTTTGCTCAAGTATGAAAAAAAGCAACACGCCTGAGACAATGTCCGCAGACTGTGTTTTGCATGATATACCAGCAGCGTCACCAATGGAACCTGCATGTCAGAAGATTTCCCTCGTGCAAGAAAAAAATTCGTATTCCCGCGCTAAAATGCGCGATGATATAGCTGGTGTACCTCTGTGGGCTTCACCCAGAAGGGCAAGCAAGGACTGCTTGTTTTCCTCCCAAAAGCCTGGAAGTTCTTGTCTCGGCGGGAACTTGCAGCAAGAGATCTCTAACGTCACCTCCATGCAGCCTCCCCAGACGTAGTTGTAGTCCGACATGCTGCCTAAGAGAACATTACGGTGTGAGGAACCTCTGCCAGCCGCGCATCAAGTCGGCAAAGCCCGCATAATGCGCCCACCTTCGAACGGGTACCACGCTGCTCCGTTGGTGATGCCATCGGGGAAGGAAGGCCCGTCCGACGGGCAGGGTGCCCCCAGGAACATGTTGGTATGATTGAATGAGTACACTTTCGCCATATGCTTGAACACGTCGTCGTCAGGCGTCAGCGTCTCAGAGTCGTCCTCTTCAAATTCTGCGAGAAACAACAAGAAAAACTTGCAGACGTACGAACGCGCATACTATGAACTTCGAAGTTTCCGCCTGCAGTGACATTTAAAAACATCTAATTTTCTGAAAGAACGAAGGGCGGTTGCACCTCAGTAGCCGGGGTTACGGGAAAACCTTTACAGACTCTGTCGCCTCACAAATACCCTCTCGGAGGGCGAAGTATACCATTGGCATTCGAGGTAACAAGGCTAGCGGATGTTTGCTCACATTTGCTTGTAAGTTTCCGAAGATGTCTGCTGCCAAAACCTTGATTTTTCAACAATTCTTTACGGCTCTTTCCGTGCTGCACAATTGATTGCCATACTCGTCAGGGGATGCGGCTACAGACAATTGAAGTTTAAGAAACGCGAGGCGTGGCCTTTCATGCTTCATCGTTCTTCGTCGTTCTTATCCGCCGAAGAATATTCTTATCTGCGAAGCGATAATGAAATGCTAAGGAGTTATTACGCCCCGCCTTTCTTCATCTCTCAGTGACCATGAAAGCAGTATTATCTGGTCGACTGATATTGTTTGCAGCGTGCCTGTGAGCGTGCATGTGAGATTTGAAGTTAGTTTTGTGAGTTTGGTGAAGTTTTAAGTTAGTTTTGTGAGATTTGAGAGGTTTGAGGTTAGTTTTGCGAACTTTGCGATATCTGAAATTTGTTTCGTGAACTTTGTCAGATTTTCAATTAGTTTTTTAGGAGTTGCGTTGTTTGAAAATAGATTTCGTGAGACTTGTGAGATTTTAATATAGTTTTGTGAGGTCAGAGCATAGCTTGGAGAGATGTGTGAGGTTTGAAATGAGTGTCGTAAGATTTTTGAGGTTTGCCAGTTTTTTGCGAGATTTCCGAGGGCAATTGGTTTTGTGAGATTTGTGAGGAATAAAACAAATTTTTCAAGGTTTGTGAGGTTTAAGGTCCGTTTTCTAAAACTTTTGAGGTTCTTCTAGCTTTCAAGGTATGATATATATTTTCCCCGCCTTACCGGTTATGGACGACATGTCGAAGGGATAGGCGACGACCTTGACCCCGCCGTGGATACTTCCCGAAAGCACAAAAGGTATCTGGCTTATCCAGCTACGAACTGCCGCGGTTTCATTCTGCTCGGGTTCGTGCTGAGTAGAGAAGCGGTTCGGGAAGTTGCGATTCAAGTCCACTTGGTTGGCGTTCTCCCTGCGAAAGGAGTGCACGTATATGTCATGCGTATTTATTCAATAAAGTTCTACAGAGCCTACCGAGCATTCTCGTAAGTGGCGAAATGATATTCACTTGGGAGTGTTTGCAGCACAGCACCTGTTTTTGGCCTTTTGACTTTATGACGGTTTTAACAAAAATAAAGTTATAAATCTCCAAGCCTGACGACACAATTCTCAACCTATTCACATGCGAAGTGTTTGCTTTAATAAGGCGCCGATCGGTGAAAGATAAGCACACAACTTGGGCAACTGATTTTATTGTTTTTACTGTATAAAATATTAACCTAAGCGGTGTTACGGGTGTTTTAAATACTCAGTGACATCTTATAAACGAATTCGTATATCTTACAATCTAAGTAACGGCCCGGCCAGCATGAAAATGTTACCTAAACTTTGCTCGGTAAGTACGGGCCCGTTGACGACGACTGAATCCCCCGTATAACTTGAGCCCACCCCAAGGCACCACCGATGCGCCGTACGCAAAACAACAAAGCGCCTGGTAAAAAGAAAAATACAGGCAACGCACTCTTACGTTTTTCTCATACCTACATAAGCATGGAATTTTAAAGGCTGCCGTGCCTTTGAGAGGGTTCTTATTGCCCTCGTTTCGTGACTCGAACACAGGGTAAAGCATATGTTCGCCTTCAAAACTATCGAAGTGCAAGATCTTCATTTTACGGCACATTTAATTGAAATTAGTCCTATGCATTAACAAAGATGCAATATTAAAATAACGACTCGGTACGAAAAGGCAGTCTTTAATACTGTGTTTATAACACATTTTTAAACGATTTCAATACAAAACCTAGAATGTTCGGAGTGTTAGACCACGCGACCGAATTCAAATCATCTTAGACCTAAAACCGAACTTACTATAAACTTGTTTCTAATCTAACGATCAATATGTGCATACCAGAAATATTAAAAAAAGGAAGCTTTCATAACGGCAGAAGTAAAGTAACTATATCGTGACTTAACCGCTGTAACAATTTTAGATATGAAATTCATTTGAACTACTCGGGCAAAAGAAAAGACTCGAGTAAACATGTATTTTACTTACTCAAATTCTGCTGCCAACAAGAAATGAACAACGTAATTAACGTTTTTAATGATCTAAAATACCTGGGTTCGGTTCCCGCCTGGCACAAACGCTTTTTTACTGCGATGTCCTGTTCCCTTTCACTTAAACGGCCACGTTTTTATCCAAGCTTCACTTTTATCTGGGCTTCACGAAATGGCGAACACCTAACCAAAAAACGCTTCAAGTATAAAAGACACAAAAAAAAAAAAATAAAGCCGTTTACAACTCCCTGTAACGCCGAATTAGAGCGCAGCTCTTGAGGAGGAGGAGGGAAGGGTGCTGAGGTTCACGTGTTTTCGGAGGGAGAATAAAGGAAAATATTTCTTTTATGATACAGAGTACTACACTAGTCACTATTATTTATTTAGAAACAAGAATTGCTACACTCTTCAGCAGTACCGAGGGATGCACGATTGTCCTATGTATTCAACACTTTCATTGACGATCAGTGATTGGAATCAGCTCCCCGGTACAGCTGTTTATTTATCAGTCGTTTTCATCGATTTCTACAATGACACTTTACTGTATTATAACGCTTAAATCGTGCCGCATCGGTTGTCTGTTGTATTGATATTATTGTTGTTAAACTCGCACTATATAATGTTTCATGCGCTGCGAAAAAAAACTATATATACGACTGTTTTTTTTATGTTTTTTGGTACCGATGTATTACATATTTTGAATAACCCACACCTCTTATAGTCCTTACAAGATTAATAGTACGTAACATCAAATAATAATAAAAGCACTGCGTTACGACTCCTCACGACAAGAGAACACACAGTCGCCATCTAACGGCTAGCTCTGGCACACTTTCGATCTGCGTATATTTTACGCAACACGTTTTCACCGTGCGCACGAATTAACTCTAAAAATGTGATAACCGACCACTGCTCACGGCCAGTATATCAGAAAAAAAAAACAGCGTAAAAAGCACAAAAAATCAAACAGCAGAGACGAGTAGAAGAACTGAACGGGGCGAGCGCATGGGCAGTGCGTAGATGTGATCTTACAAACGTGTGCAAAATTTTCGGTCCATTGTTACACACAAATTGGAAGTGCTCTAGGCCTACCCAAAAGATGGCGCCAGCGCGTCCTTCCGTCGCTCTCATCGTAGGCGGTCACTAGTGGTTGCAATGCCGTCGATCCCAGTCAATGGCGAACGAGTGAACCATCCTTTGCATCGCAAGCTACCACGAAGATGCACGTTCATCACCCACCGTCCGCGCATGCTCTCGCAGTCGCCCTCCTGGGAAATCTCGAAGCCGTCCGGGTTCATGCTGGGCATGATGTGGATGCGCGTGTTGTCCAGCAGGTGGCGCACGTACGCGTCCGTGTCGTACCGGGTCAGCAGGTGCTCGATTAAGTAGACCATCAGCTGGCGACCCACGGCCTGTAAAGAAGCGCCCGCACTGCACACCGGCCACTTCATCTATAAGAACACGAACCTTAATCGGATAGGGGCATGCCGAGAGTGGTTCGAATAGAAAAGCGCTTCGTCATTCAGGGCTTTTGCAGTGTGAGGGAAAACTAGGACGTACCGGCTCTTTCTACATTTTTGAATCTTTAGGAATGACGTTGCGCAATTTAATTCAAAGCAGTATTCACACGGTTTCGAGTCGATTCGTTAATGTTCTCAATAGGGCGACAGCAGGTTATTGCCCCCCCCCCCCCCCCCCTCCTCTCCTTTCCCCAGATATTTAGAAAAGTAATCTAAACCAGAGCACGGTACGGTCTTCCCAACAAGTCCGCGTGCTAAAACACGGAATTCAGACACATTTTCCCGTCCGGGAAACGGGGCAACACCATACGACACACATCGCTACTGCTGGCTGCAGCGTCGATGCCTCCCCGGCCCGCGGGGGCCGATAACGCGCCGCTATCGGGGCGCATCATCGTCCGTCCGCTCTCGTCGAAAGCCGGAAGCGAACTCTCGCCACCCGGCCGTCTCCTTTAGCACGATAAAGTCTGTCTGCTGTCGTCAGCGTCACAACTGACCTCGTAAGTGTGACGTCACCGCTACAAACAAACCGTTGCTAGGGGCGTTGTTAGGCACGAAAACTTGGGACTGGATTCCCCTCCGAAAGAACGATTGGTCAAGAATCGGACGTGGGAATGTAAACGTCTAAAAATAATAGATAAAGGAAGCCTGAATTTCACACTTGTCACGAGAAAAGTCTGACGAGAATCGAATGTTTGTGAAATATTTGCGACGGCAACTTCCAGTCCTCGAGACGTCTCGAGATGCCTGTTGCACACAGCGAACGAATTTTTAACGCACACGGAATAAATAAAGTATGCCGTCTGCAAAGTTTATGTCGTTTGAACACTGATACAATTTATTTTGTTTATATTTGGAACATCGCAGGCGTAAAAAAATTAATCAAGTTTATAAAAACGTATAGTATTTGCGTGCGATTCAGGACACTGTCATACGAATATCATCACACGCATGGAGATATTCTAGAAATACAGCGAGAAAAGCATATGTTTAGAACGTGATATTAAAGCAGCGTTGGGCAGCGTTGGGAAAGACAGCAAGAATAGCATATCCCCCCATCCGCTTCGCTGGTCGTACTTCCAACCAAGTGGATGCTCTGTTTACGACCTTGTAAAAGGACCAGCAGATGTCTCAGAGTATAGTGCCTGGAACGCGTCTCCGGCAGGTGTGTTTTCCGCGTAAAAAAAAAAGTGGTGCCTCGATTTCCTCTTGATGACGTCATACAAGTTTCATGCTGTCGCCTGCCGCGTTCCTGGTGGTGTCAGAGCTGAGGTGCTGTATGCGGCAGACGCCTATTCCACTGCAGGTCGCTCTCCAGGTTGACAGTACACTGAAGCTTAGTCAGCCAGCAGTGGGGACGCTGTGACAACAGCGACACTCGCGTTTGCTTCAACAGTATTAGATCAGGTGAGTTACGGAACTGCTCAAAGACGCTGCTCGCCCGAGCAGTACTCCCCATCCCGAACAGTAGTCTCCCCCTCCCTCTGCCCTCACGACTCGCCTCATGTCGGTCGACGCTCCGGACCGCTTCTATGGTAACTACGTACAGTGTATTCTGTGAAATACGTACGTTTTGAAGCGTAGTGTCTAGGTGGCGTTCCACCGTACTCTATAGAACACACAGTTTTGGAACGAAAATCAAGATGGCGCTTCAAACAACGGGAAGCGGACAGAAGCGAGTGAGGGGAAGGGGGGAGGCTCCCCCTCCGCGTGAGTTGCTCAACTGAGGCAATCTAGAAACGTTGGTTTGCTTGTGCTTTTTTGATGGAACCAGCGTTGCCTGGTAGTGGAGCTGTCATACAGTCAAATGGCTGCCACGAATAACCAAAATGTAGCAAAAGCCTTAAACAAAATCGAAAAAAAATAACCTAATAGCGAGTTTGTTTCACGGCACTCGTGCCCACGCGTGCCCACTCGCAGCGTGGAACGGGTTCGTTTCGGCCGGCACTCCACGAGTGGTTGCACTCTCCGAGTTCGTTTCAGCGCTGACACCCCACGCGTGCATGCACTCGCTGCACCGAGAAAATCGGGAGTGCGCCAAAATGCAATCCCGTCATGCCTCGCTCCGGCGGGGCCGGCGAGGAGCGGGAGCAGACGACGAGGGTTCGTCTGCTACGATGTGTCGCGGAACCGAACGGAACAAAAAGTAGATTTTCTGATAGAAATCGCGTCCTGCGGGCCACGAAATCAAACGCGAGCTTGAATTGTGAGCGTCTGCTATTTCATGAAGGAAACAATTGACAACCCGTGCTTTATTTGCAGGTTTTAAGTCCCTCTGTTGCCGTACAAACGCTGAAATATACCAGTGTGTAAAGAAATGCTCAGAACAAACGTAACAGCGGCCCCCGAGATGTCTATCATCATCCGTGTGCGGGTGGAAAATTTAACATTTGTCGGCAAAACTCCCCCAGCAGAAACCTCTGTCTGCCCAATAAGCATCAGAGAAAGCTAAATATGGTAACTTTACCCGAGGATTGGGCAACATCATCATGTTTAACATTTACCTACGTCAGCTAACTTGCCCCGTCATATTTTGTTCGAGAAAGCTCTCGTTCTTGACGCCCTCACCAAGGCTAATTTCTGATCCACCTATAATGACGATCCAAATCGAAAGTCCCAGTTTTGCTGGATATTCCAACAGGCTAGTTTTAAGCCGTACCCTTTCAGTGGTTCACGCATAATACCATGCTCAAGCGGATCAAGCTTCTGCTCGGACAGCATCATCAGTTTTCTTCAGTGTAAACGGTTATAAGAATTGAAAGATCGTAACCAGCTGCTTTGTATAAAACTGGGTGCGGAAATTTACGCCGTCTGTAACTATCTCTACGGCAGCCGAGCTGCTTGAAGTCATCGCAAATATAAACTACAGGTTGCAGCGACCAACGTTTGTAGATAAACGTTGGTAGCCGACTGCATTCTCGCATTCCCACGCATCACTCCGAACAGAAAGGCGCTAGTTTCGGTTTGAACTCGGTACGTTTTCTACAACATAGATGGCGGCAACATCAGTCTTCTGCACTCGGTGCATTTGGCGAGTTCGTTTGAGTCCAGTTTTCCGTGCAACACTCTGAGAGTGCGATGCATTCTGGGAGAGAACTCGAACGGTGCCAGTGCGTGTGAAACGAACTCGCTATAAAACAACAACAACTTTTAGACTTTGTATTCGTAATTCCTGTCGCCCATGGCCTCCCATGGCAATGTGCTTATTGCACTTCCACCACCTACAAGATGCGGTAATTTTTTCAAACGAAAATCGTTAATGTAATCATAATCCCAGGATTAAAATTTGTGACGGATTTGCCGTTCGGGCCCAAAAGTTGCAGCGCTTTTGCGACTCCCCAGATCAGTCTTCCACTGAAATGTTCAAGCACTGCATTCAACATTGGCGGCGCTAAGCTGACACACCAATGGTAATCAATCAAGAAAATAAATGTTAAATATTCCACGCTATTCGGTTCACGCACATTTATTAGTACCTATTTTTCTCAAATCTTTAAAGACATTTTTCTGCGAACCATGGAAGAAATTTGAATTATTATAGCACAAACAGTTAATATCAAATGGGCCACGCAGAACAGTTAGAACACTAGGCGCATGGAACGCTGAACGCAACAGAACAGCGTCTAAACCAGACTTGTGCCTATCTCAAATACTCTACTCAAGATACTCTATTTCAAATACTTTTTGAAGTATATTGGTATCTTGCAAATACCTTTGATCGAGAGTATTTAATAGTCCATTTTATTTACGATTTCGAGTATCTTGTACTCATTATCTTAAATACATGTTTGACATTCCGCCATTTTCCGAGTTGTTCGGGGTGAAGTGACGTGGGCGTGGCACGAGCAAACGTGAACATTCTTTCGAGCCACCAAATCCACTTAGCTACGGTGACTTTGATTGAGCTCGTGAAAACATAGCTTTTTTGCCGATTGTAACCCATATTTCAGCCCAAAGTTCGTACAATGAAGGTTCTCCCCTCGCCTTCCAAAAGGCGCCTTTTGTTTCCATAGAGTTTTCCCCCAAAAAATCGAAAACAAAAGGTGTTGTTTTACTCAAGTAAAGATGAGCTGCTCTAAATCGGGACGCGCGAGAGCACGTAAAACAATAAATGTTCGTTGGTCGTCGCGACCAAGTAACTGAGCGACGCTGTCGGCCATGTTGATTTGAACGTACATAATGTCGCAAGATTTCATCGTAACCTGCGCAAAACTTCCTATAATTTTGTTTCGTGAATACGAATCTTCTTACGTTTTGTCGTACGCACATTTTTGGCGTAAGATCGTTTCGTGAATCTGGATTCAGCTGTTTTCGTGTGTCTATATGAGGACGGAATGTCTTATTCCTTTTTGTGACTGTAGCGCGGTATTCTTCAAGCTTGCGTGACTTCCACATACACGATCATGAGTTGTGAATTTTGTGCCCCGAGTACTGCCACTCTCGCATTGTTCAAGATTTTTTTATACTTTCGACCTCTTCCCTCTTTGATACATTTCAGAAACAAAATAAGACCTAATTAAAAATATATATATATATTTTGAAATCGGAGTTGTGTTGTTATGTTGCAGATCGTATCTCTTGGTATAAATTCCTATAAATAATTATTCTGCGGTAAATTAAAATAGCGGTGGCACAGAAGTATAGCCTCAATGTAACAACGCCGCAGTCAACAGACTCAACACCTAATGGAAGAAATAAAATGGGTAATCGACTTTCTCTCTGGCCGCAATTAAGCGCCACGAAAGCACCGCGCAGTGATTCTATAAGAAATTATTAGGAGTTTTACCCATGTAGCACATAATTCTTTTCTATTTGGAACCAACGTATATGTTATCCCTTAGTTCGCCAAGTGATTGAAAAATAACAAGACGCACCCGTTCTCTCGATACACCTGTACAGTTCTCACCTCGTTGCCATGCATGTTGGCCACGTATTTGACGTTGGGCTTGAGCAGAGTCTCTTCGTTCGGGTCTCTGCTAATGAGGAGAACCCACAGGTCCCGGTCTGGAGAGATTTAACCGAGTGAGCAAAGGCGGAAACTATTTAAGTGAATGGCGCAATCAGGATTCAAAAGATAACTTCAAATTGTTTTACATAATCTTATAAAAAATATTTGTTATAATGTGTAGGCAAAAATACTAAGCCTAAAAAGTGGTACAATGTCATAGGTATAAAATTATGTACAAAACAGAAGAAGAAACAAAAAATAGACATTCACAGTTAAAATTATGCACAAATTAGTGACTTTCTTGCTCGTTTAAAATTGGCAATGTCACAAAACAGTATCGATTACAGATTTATCTAGCTCGTTATAATCGAATTGCATTTTTGTAAGTTGGTATGTATGGTTCAAACTCCACAGACAAAAAGGGCTTTCAGAGCCTTTGGTCCCGGAAGAAACCACGAAAGCAAAGAGTACAGGCCCGCGTCCCCTCTCCCATTTTGAGTGTGCGCGGGCTCTCCTCCTCTCCCCGGAAATGGGGGAGGAGGAGAGCCTGCGTACGCTCGAAATGGGAGAGGGGACGCGGGCCTGTACCTTCCACTGCATTGCCAAGAAAAGTTGTCGCGGAGTATAGTCAAATAGACAGAACGAATTGTTTGAGTCAAAACCACCTACAGTCGGCGACAGCTGAAAGGAGGAAAGCAACACAATTCTAGCGCGTATTTTCTTCTCTAAATGTCAAGCACGTTCTGTCGAAAGAAAAAAGGCACCGATTTCTTTTTCATCAAGACACCGAAACATTATTTAAACCAAATGAAGTGATTACCACATTGCACCCAGTGCATTGTTCCCGAATATCGTTACGTCAAAGTAACGCGTTGACGCCACCAAGTGACGAAGCTCACAGCCACGCCGGCCTCGTCGTAGCCTTGCCTCTGCAGTTAAACATGACGTCACGAACGCTCTGGAGGCACCGGACCTCCCAAGACGCATCGCGCTCTCCGACGGCTGCTCTTCGAGCGCTTGCTGGAATCGGCCGTTTGGAACAAAAAACACATAGCCATCCGTTCAATATAGGAACGTGCGATTGTCATTAGCGGATTTGTTGTTCGTGTTTAATGTATTTTTAAACGTAAGAAGTGCATTTCAGTTTTCATTTGATTGTCTTAAGAAAGGCCTTACGTGGCGGATCTCAATAGTCTTATAGTCGATACCCAGCCATTGGGAGCGCAACATTAGCCGATAAGGCCGCCAAAAACAAATCACAAAGCAAGAAGCGTAAACGTATCTTTAGTGCGGAATTTTATAATTCACGGGCTGAGGGTAGAGACTACGTGAGCGCTCGGCTGCCACTCGCATTTCAATCAGTCAGAACACGAGACCCTGTCGAACACTGTCATCGCCGTTAGCCGGCGTAAATGGTAGTTGAAATTATGAGACACCCAATTACGCTCTCGTCGGAAGTGCGGTATCGGAGGCACACGAACGATTGCACCGAAATGTATTGGCCCCCCAAAAAGTGTTCTGCCTGCTTTCCTAAGGTGCATAGTATAATGGGGCAATTGTTGCGTGGAAGATTAACGCGTGACTTACTTTGGACGGACTTTCCGATGCTGTACAGCCTGGTGAGGTTCGGGTAGTTGGCGCTCATGTTGCGCAGGAAAGCGGTCATCTCCTCGTGGTTGTAGTACACCTCTCGCTTCTCGTCTCCCGCGCTCTGCCCCCGCACGTGCTTCACGGTGCTCAGGCAGAGGAGGACGAGCATCAACACCGACGCGCACCAGTTGAAGCGAGGCATGCTGACGGAACCTGCGAAAGCGAGGCATTCCGGACTCAGGCAGGCAAATGACAATATCATGTTAGTATTTTGAGCCTGAGGGCTCTATTTTTCGCTATAAACGGCCCACTCTGGTAACCACTTGGAGAGCAGCCAGTGGAGGCCACGTCACATCCGGCGTATTCGTGACTTTATTTTTCTCGGAATGTTCAAAGCTGCGGCGAGGCTGACGTTGTCAGGATACTCAGCCGTTCCAGCCACCGAAGCAGTCGAAGCACGCCAGGGATACGGCCACCCGAACTAACCGCAAAGCCGCTTTTGTGTGAATTTTGAGTGACGGGTTAATCTTCTATAATTTTGTAGAGGGAGAATAGCAACGTCTCGGAAACACAAAAAGAGCTCCTTTGAGTGGGGAGTGACTCCCTCCCTTCTTCTCTTGCGCTGGCCGTAGAGCTGTCGGGATGACGTCAGGTTGCGAGATGACGTCAGGTATGTTAGTGGATTCGGGAATACAATTCTGCGCGTCACGTTCACACACTCTCGTTGGTGAATCCCGAGGGGATAATTCTTCGTTTGATGAGTTAATTGCGTTATGGGATTCGGCGGTGCAGCTCTTCACGTCCCGTTCACACACTCTCGCCAAAGGAGATTCATCGTTGTCCGTAGCCTGCCTGTTTTCCTTTTACCTCACTGAGCATTCTCCGTTTTCTATCTTCAAACTGTTTTAAAGCCACGGTTTCATGCTGTGGTAACTCATGATCGCAGAGCAAATTACGTTCGGCTTGTTTGACCGTGGCTGAAGTTGTTCCGCAATGTCCAATACATATCCTCACCAACTCTAGAGACCCGTTAGTGAGAACCGTATTGGTACCTTTCCAGTTCGCTCTGAGACAGCGCCGTCATGGTAGGTTTTAAGTTAATTTCTAAGCCTTGTTATTAACGGCCAATGGAAGCCTTTAATGATGGGCGATTATCGTCGTCAAAGGGCTGACATCTCGAGACCTCGACTTCCCTCCGGCAGCAATGTTCAAATATCGTCATCAAAAGGGCTGACATCACGACACCTAGACTTTCCTCAAGCAGCAAAGCTGGGCTCGGCGGCTCCAACAGCGTCTTCAAATTGTTGGGGAACCGGTGGCCGAGTGGGCAAACGCGTCTCAGCTTGGAGCGTGGAGCGGAAGCTTGCGCTGGAAACCTCCTGGGCTCGATCCCCACCGCCCCCGCCCGTTTCGATCTGGATGAGTTTCGTACCGGCACGCGTCTTTACTGCGTGATGCACGTAAACAACCCCAGGTTAGCAGTTGTACTGCACTGCTTAAAATTCTCATCTACAGCTATGCGACCGGTCACCCGTTGAGGCGTACCAACATCAAGGCTGTATAAACATACGAAGCAAGCCAATTCTTTCCAAATTGTTCTCTCTGACTTCTTGATGCTGTAAATACATTATTAAACAGTGTACATACATATCGGGAAACCCCTGCTCCTTCGAGTTTCCTGTTCCCGTCGCGCCCGGAGATGGTCCGACAGTCGGCTTTGCTACCGGGACGACGACCCACTCGTTACAGCCCTAACGGGTGATGCGCGCGCCAAGGTAATTTTTAAGGTAAGCGGTATAAAAATTATGGTGGCGACGTCGAAGCTCCCTGGTGCTTTCTAGACGTGTGTTCTTTCTTTCGTTTCTGGCAGAAGTTCGCCCATTAAATCTTTAGTTCAGTTCGTTTATTTATTCCTCATCGTCTGCCATTCATAACAATAAGCAACGAATTATAATAGAGTGTTAAAAACTGCGTATTAAAATATATAAATTTTATTCTTATTAATCCAAACCCCCAATAAACGCCACAATAAAAAAATAACCTTTTAGCCATGATAGTCTTTACAAAAAGGTGTAGTTTTGTTTTTCTTTTAGCATGTGAAAAAGATCTGACATTGTTATCGATATAGACATAAACACTGGATGTATATTTCATTTCATTTCATTTCATTTATTAGCCGTTTTGAAATGGGGTGGCAGGAACAAAAGGTACTTAATAGTACGTGACCAAAGTCCCGTTTGAGCAACGTGTGGTGCATAGGACGATAAGGTTCTATGCACCACACGTTGCTCAAAAACACACACTTCTGTTGTCTGACTCGAATTTTGTTTTGGGGGTTTTGCTGTAAGGACAGCGCTTCTTAATTTATACGTTTTGCGAACATAATCTAAACTCCTCACCCGTGGCGATGTTTTGCTTAAATTGGATTGATTATGTTATTTTTTGTTTAATAATGGTAAATCAATTAATGATTTAAATGCCCAAAACCAATGAGAGGATCTTCAGTCCATTACATTTCATGACCATTATCTGAACGAAAGAAAAAAAGTCAAAACACAAAAATATCAGTGCTGATGAGTGAGTGAATAAACTTTATTGTAGCGACGTGTGGTTAACCCTTGGTCCCGTATGGGACCAAGGGTTAACCCGTATGGGGCCCCTAGTCCGGGGCCCCATACGTGGTGGCGACCGCCTAGGCGCGGTCCGCCAGCGATTGCTGGCCAGTGGCCGTGTCATCGGTCAGCCGCTCCTCCCAGGAGGTGGAGGTGCGATTGGAATTGGGTAAGATGGCGGGAATAAGCTGGCACTGCCAGACCATGTGAATAAGGTTCGGACGGTCGCCGCAGTGCGGGCACTGAGGCGGGCTGAGAGACGGGTAGAGGTAAGAGTAGAGGATGGGGGTCGGGAAAGAGTTAGTTTGCAGTTGTCGCCACAGGACGGCGTCTCTGCGAGTAAGGGAAGGGTGAGGAGGAGGATAATGTTGCCGAGCGAGGCGTAGCTCCGCAAGGTGAGTGCTGTAGGAGTAAGGGACTGGTTGGATGCTTACAAAGTCTTCCCCAAGCGCCCGGTGTGAGAGGTTTCGGGAGAGCGCATGAGCGCGCTCATTACTGGAGACGACTGCGTGTCCAGGCGCCCAGACCAGCTGGAAAGTGTGGGAGGTGGAGGACAGGAACGGGTCGAGTAAAGATGCAGTGGAAAGATGTAGGGTGTTATATAGGAAGTGCTGACAGACTGCCAGGCCGTCTGCGAATCAGTGAGAATGTTAATGGGGATGGAGGAGGAGAGACATGAGGTAGAAAGGATTGCCCTGGCGACCGCTGGTTCTTCCAGGATGGACACGGGGGTAAGACTACGCTCAGTAGCCGCGTGGACTGTTCTGAAATCAGGGTCCACGACGGCCGTAATACCCCCGCGCACACCCTGTGAGCTGGCGTCCGTGAAGAGGGCACGAACGGTATCGCAGCCCACCGGATACTCGCGTCCAAGGTAGCCCGAGCGATGGTCGCGCCGAGCCGAGTGTTGGGTAGGGTTCATATAACGGGGGATGGGAGCCACAGTGAGTCTGACACGCGCAGCGGGGGAGAGACCCTCAGCTGCCAGGGAAGCGGGACAGGTTGGAAAACCAGGGGTGGCAAGGAGTGCCCGCCGCTGAGCCCTGGAGCGCAAACGCGTCAACTGGGCAGCCCGATGAGCTTTAATGAGCTCCTCCAGAGGCAAACCTCTGGAAACAGAAGCCTCTCGAGGCAAACGGTGGCTGTGCGAACGGGGAGGCCGAGCGCAAGTTTCTGCGCCTTCCGCAGCAATACAGACATACGAGTGTGTTCGGTGTGGGTGAGATTGTGGTAAGGAAGGTGGTAGGTAAAGCGAGTGTGTATCAAGGCCTGGACAAGGCGTAGGGCGTCCGCCTCTTTAGGGCCATGTCGACGATTTGAGACGCGGCAAACCATGTGCATCATTTGGTTGCACTGCTCGGTGAGTTGATGAAGGGTTTGAGTTGCTTTAGCGTAGGGTTATAACACAAAGCCAAGCACCCGTATGGCCAATTTACGCGGGATGGGTTTGTCGTCTAATGTGATGGTAATGGGGACGTTGGTTTGTCCGCGAACGTGTTTGGTCAGACTAGTAATTCTGACTTCGTGGGGGAACAGGTGAGGCCTCCACGCCGGGCTAGTGCTCGATGGTATCAGCAGCTTCTTGTAACTGAGTCTCTATGTGTGCGAGGGAGCCTCTCGTTACCCAGACAGTAATGCCATCTGCGTAAATTGCATATCTGACATTCGATATCTAATCCAGAAGGGGAGGAAGACCTCCCATGGCAAAGTTAAACAGGAGCCGAGAAAGTACAGAGCCTTGCGGTGTGCCACGGTTTGCCACTGGCGCGGAAGGAGAGCGAAGGTGACCATGGACGAGGCTGGCAGGTCGGTCACAGAGGAAATCGCGTACGTAATTGTACACTTTCACTCCGCAGCCAGTGGCTGCCAACTGTTCAAGGACCAGGTCGTGTGAGAGGTTGTCAAAAGCCCGTTTAAAGTTTGCGGCAAGAACGGCGCGATATTGGGCAGTGCTCGGCGAGTCTAAAACATCATGTTGGAGACGAAGCAGTGCGTCCGGGGTAGAAATGCCACTAAGGTAGCCATAAAGGGTGTCAGGAAGAGCGGATTTGTCCGCAAGGAATTTGTGGAGGCGAAGCTGTAAAACCTTCTCAAGCAGTTTACCCAGACACGAGGTAAGTGAAATCGGGCGCAAGTTCTCCAAGGAGAGGGGTTTGCCAGGCTCGGGTATCAGAACCACTGTTGCTTCCTTCCACTGCTTGGGAAGGGTACCCGACTCCCACACCTCGTTCAAGTAGGTTGTAAGCTGCGTAGTTTGCGAATCAGAGAGGTTGTAGAGAAGGGAGTAGCGGATCTGGTGAGGACCAGGGGATGTGTGACGGCGTATGTCGGTGAGTGCAGCGCAAATCTTAATGGCTGCGATCAGCGCGTTAAGATAAGAGAGCGTGTTGGGGGTACCCACGAAGTCCACGTAACGTGGAGCGTCAGGAGGGGGAAGGTAACGTTGTAGCTGTGTGAGGCATTGGCTGTCTGTTAGGTTAGTGGCGCGGAGAAGTTTATGAATGCCATTGGCCTTGTCCGATTTGGCTTGACCAGGCTGTATGATATCAGGGAGTAGGGACCATGTTCGTGCGGTACCGAGAGTGTCATTGAGCTTGTCAC